AAAATAAGAAAATGAATAGTTGATTGCACCAAAAATTCAAATGTACATTTCAATCAAGGGTCAAATTGTCAATGGAAGTATTTTCGCTTTGAGGCTATGCATTGTCTAATTACATGGCTATTATTTAATGAAAAAAAAATAAAGTATATTTTTATTCATCATAAGAGAGGCTTAATTTAATTTGCTATTTTAATCATTCATGTAAAATTGATGCTCTGTTCCTGTTTTCTTCTTATTCAACTAGCTATGTTCTTAACAACATAAAGTAAGTTAAATATCTATACATTAGGTTTTTGTTCCTCATCAGCAGTGATTAAGCCATGGAAGTCTTGCATTATCTTGACTGCTCTTTCTGCCGTATCGCAGTGTTTGTACCTCATTCTTAGTGTGTTGAAAATAGTCATTATGTGACCAAGAAGTTGGGAACAAGGACTTTGTTTTGACTGAAACAGTCATAGATATTTTAAACGAAAAAAAAAAAACGAAGAATAGCTACTATCTAAACATACTGGTTTAGTCTGAACGACCACAGAAAGTCAACCATGGACAGATGTTTTGTGCTCTTTCACGTATGTTGTCACGATATCTAACAGAGCTGCCTTATCCTTATTAGAAAGTTTGAGCTGGGAACTTAGCAATGCTATTTTTAATGAATATATTGCTCTGGCCATCCATCGAGCTTGATGCCTCCCTGGTTTTTGTACTTTTTGAATAAAAAATTAGATGCTTACCCACTGCCGGTGCACGACAACACCGTGCATTGACAGTTGGTCATCGGGTGTTTCATAGTCGGTGTCATCATAGTTGATGGGTTCAACGAAAGCTGGCATACTCTTCGGCTGTGAAGGGTGGGGATTGGATGTACCCGGATCATCTTTAGATACTCCTGAAACAAGCAAATTTTTAAAAGATACAAAACCCGACGACAGTAACTGAAAAGAATGTCAAAATCTATCCATCGGTTCGGCCTGTAGTCCGCGAAATGGGAGCTTTGGAAATTGGTCATTTTGGTTGTATACAATTTTTGTACGTCCAGAGTTACTCATATTATCAAAACAAATTCATCAAGGCGTTTCAGCTGTGTCTCGAAAATAGAAATTTGGGAGGTTGAATATTTTTCCGCCATTTTGTTTTAATAAAATTCTAATAATTCTAGTGTCCCGCAAATTACTAAGATGAGCCTAACAAACCTCATATGTCCATCCATCAAGCCGTTTGGCCTGTATCCCGTGAAATATGTTTTTCTATTAAAATCCACCATTTTGTATACGTAGTGTCAGTCGTACAGTGAAGACAAATCCAGAGACACCTCATACGTCAAAATCCAACAAACCGGCATAACATACAGCCAGTGACATGTGAATTTACGTCGTACAGCTCTTGCAAATTTTCCTTATAACTCATTTCAAAACTTCCCACCACGGATTCGAAAACCAGGTGATTGAAATAAAAAACGCCAAAACACGTAATAAGATTTGTCAAGGGGGACAACTTTTTAACCAAAAACTACTTCACCCCCTTTCACCCTCGGTCATTTCCTTAAAAATTTTAAAGGACAAGGGATATCGAGTAATAGTTTGTTTGAAAGGTCTTTCGAAGTCTTATATTTTGACGCTTGATTTTTTAAAATCAGTCGATTCGTTTTCGAGAAAATTTGGATAATCTTTATTTATCTTAATTTGTTCAGATAGAAAACAGAAACAAGCGAAAATATCACCTTTTATTTCAATAAACCGCAATAACGATCTCGTCGATATATCAGTTCACAGTGGATGTTGCTGCTGAGGCCTTGCTAGTATAATTATTGAGATGATTTTCCGGGACGTTTCTATCCTGTTTGTTCCCAGTACGTTTATTTATCTGGTACATAGAGCTGCGAACATACGGGGGGGGGCACAGGAATTTTTTCCAGGGGGTATTGTATTGAAGTGTATTGTTCTCCTATATTTTTTAGAGTGAGGCGTAGGCAATTTTCGCAGAGGTGAGGGTTAAATACTGAAAAACTTGACAACTTCGAATCGTATTTACTAACACCATGGACAGGCCGGCATTTGAAATTTCTTATCAAATAAACTGTGAGTACTTTATTTGAATATATTTTTTATTTTTTCACTGCGGTTTTATTGAACATTACCTTTGTCATTTGAAACGTAGTTGTTCCTGAAAAGAAAAGTGTTAACTTTCAGGATAAGCTGTATATCTCATTTTGAGTTATTACTTGTTCATCGGATAATACTTTTGTTTATTCCTCTTAGGACAAGCGTATATATTATTAATGTAATTCGGATCTTTCATCGCTACTTCAACGTTGTTTTGAAACGAGATTAGCGACAATTTACTCTACAAACTGGGAGCGTCGCAAAAGTTTCCGCTTTTAAGGCAACTTCTGGAGTTCGAGCCCAAAACACTCACTCCATCAGCGAGATGAAGTAGGAACCGGTGGCAAAAACGGCGTGCTAATGGAACTTCTTTCATAGGTTCATAAATATTTTGATGACCATTGACGTAGACTTTGTATGTGTTTCGTAAAGGCCACTACATTGTCGGATCGAATTTTCTACGATTTATTAGTGGTAGTCGATGGACCGACACCAATAAAATATTTCTAAAACCTTGCTGTCAGGAATAACGTCTATACCTCTTTGTTAAGTGGATTCCCACAAAAGTTTAATGACGATAATTTCAAGGGGTAAAAATTTTTTTTGTGGAAGAACTGTTATTTATATACCCAGCAACTTCAAAAATAATGATTTTAAAGCGAGTTTTGAAGCATTGAAGATGGCCATTATTAAGGGTTTTCAGACCGTTTATACAGGGTGCGGCAGAGAGGACGGACGTTTTTGGGATGGGTAGTACTCTCCGCCTCCGTCTACGAGAGAGGTGGGGAGGGTGCCGTTTGACTCGTGAGATCCTAGCATAATTTTACTAGTTGTCGTTATGGAGCCTTGGACGGTGAAGCACCGCGTTTTCGCCTATGATTGTTTCGTCCGAAATAATGAGCCAGTCATCGTCGTACAGCGTGAGTTACTTCGCAACTTCAACATTCATCGGAATAGAGCTGTTCCCTCTCGAAACACCATCCTTCGTTGGGTTGAATCACTTCGCAGGCGTGGTGAACTGATCAACAGAAGACCAAGAGGAGCGCCGCGAACAGTTCTTTCTTCGCAGTCCGACTCGATCTGCCCAGAAACATGCTGCTGCACTTCGCCTTAGTGATCGTTCGGTAAGGCGAATTTTGCATATGGATCTCCGCTTTCACCGCTACAAATTGGCCATTGTGCAACAGTTACAGCCCGGAGATTATGCACAACGAATGAACTTCGCACGTGAGATGGAAGCACTGATTGATCAAAATGGGAACCTTATTTTATTTATGAGTGACGAAGCCCACTTTCGCCTAAACAGCATGGTTAACCAGCAGAATTGTCGTTATTGGGCTAATGAAAATCCGCAAAAGTTACACGAAAGACCGCTGCACAGCCCAAAAGTAACGGTTTGGTGCGCTGAATCGCAAACTTGCATCATTGGCCCTTACTTCTTCGAAGACGGTAATGGTCGTGATGTTACTGTGAACTCAGAGCGCTACATCGACATGATCACCAACTTCTTTTTCCCTGAATTACGACGGCGACGTGTTCCAATCCGACGTGTGTGGTTCCAGCAGGATAGGGCGACCGCCCACAGAGCCCGAGCATCCATGGACGTTATTCGCCCTCTCTTCCCTGGTCGCCTTATTTCCAGGTTTGGCGATGTTCATTGGCCTCCTCGGTCCCCAGATTTATCCATATGCGATTTTTTCTTATGGGGACACCTCAAGGCTAGAGTATACGCGAACAAGCCCCGAACTCTGGACGAATTGAAGGGCGAAATTCGCGTGGAAGTCGCCCAAGTTGAGAGAGCGATGTTGGAGAGAGTCTACGCGAACTTCCAAGCACGCCTCCAGCACTGCGTCAACGATTTCGGCCACCACATGCCTCATGTGATTTTCCACACTTGACTGTCTCAAATGTTATTTCCTTGTGAACCTGATTCCATCAATAAATTTGTTTTCGAGTAAAAATTAACTGTTTTATGACTTTTTTAATACCGTCCATCCTCTCTGCCGCACCCGTTACCTCGAAAATCGCCAAGCTTAGGACTTAGGACTTTTGTATTCATAATGATCTAAGTCATCTAAAAAGCTTTGCCTTGAGCAAAAACCAAATATTTATAATTTGATAAGTAAGTGTTTAAAACAAATGAGCACAGGCTTACGGTCCGACAACCTCTTGTTTCATCCTATGGGACATTCAATAAACGTGATACGATTATGAAAAATTGCGTCAAGTAGGTTGACTTTGCGCATTTCACGCAACGCCGTTATCAGTTCATAAACGATATTTTATCGAAATACGAGCGGTACTTCTCAAATTTTAGGTGGGTATATAGGATTAGCGGACAGACCAACAGAAGTAAAAAATACGTTGGCATTTTTTTGTAAGGTTTTCGTCTAGTCTATATCTTTAGGACGCTTGATCAAGTATCCCTCCAAAAAACAAATTAAACCTCGTAACTTATTTTTTCGATTAAGGTAAAATACATTACCTTCTATATTAAATCAATGCTGGGGCGATTATGGGAAATTTTCGCGAACAAAAGGATTTTAGAACTGTTAAATACTTGTATTACTCTTAAAGGTATGAGTTCAACTTGTATGCGTTCGTAACTTTACCTAGAAATTTTAAATGCGATAAGCACCGAACAGCACTTCAAACCCTGTACACTCTCTTGAAGTATAGCTAAAAACCTTGTCGATGACGTCACCTTTCAAATAAAAAGAAAAATAAAGTCTATTCAAACCCCATTTTACTCCTTGTCAAAACAGACATGAGCGATTACCACTTCTTTTCGCTTGTCACTGCCTACCGGATCGCCCTGTATAGGGCACTGATAGCAGCTGTCCCGTAATTTCGATCCGGAAAATTTTTTAGACGAAAAGCGAGATAACCGAGGTATTTACTATGGAAACTGACCCAGGGGGGTCAGGAAATGGCGCTTCCACCATGGCAATGGAGATGCAGTCGAAGGAGCAGTCCATAGAGGAGTTGAGAGCCGAATTGGTGATGGTTCGACAGGAGCTGTCAAAAAAGGACGATGATAAGAAGACCATTGAAAGATTGATGATGATCATCGAAGCCCAGCAGCGGACAATTACCGGCCAAACAGTTAAATTAGACCTCCTACTGAAAACCCAGGTACCTTCCCATCTAAATATTACACATTCTTCCCAAACACTTCCCAAAAATCCCAGTAAAGACAAAGCTGTCAATCTTAAGAGACCGTTAAATAATTCAAGCGATCTTTCAACAGACGACGATACACTCCCTGACGGTTTTACCAAGGTTAAGCCCCGTAAAACGCGACGAAACAAGACCGACACGACAGGCTTTCCTCCTCTCCCTCCACCAAAATCGCAGTCTGAAACGTCTCATTCAACTGCAAGCGACTCGAATAAACAGCCTGTGCCTAATCTATCGATTACTTCCACGCCTTTGACATCTCAGGTACCAGAAGACACGACTGCACAGCCCCCACGCAAGGTACGTGTTACCCCCATCATTCTTCGCGATGCTTCGAGATGGCGAGGCGTAAATCACAAGTTTATTTCTTTGGGCATCAAATTCGAACGCGCGGTTGCCGTCGATGCAGGAATCAGGATAATTCCCAAGTCCGAGGATGATTACCGCAGGATTATTCGTCTCTTCAGGGAGGAAGAGGTGCCCCATCACACTTTCCCTCTACCCTCCGAGAGGAACATTCATGCTGTAATCAGAGGAGTACATGCGACACTTTCGGAAATTGAGATCAAGGAAGAGTTGCAACAGAGGGGATATTCCCCCCTGCACATAATTCGCCTGAAACGCGGTGGCGGCGTGCCCATGCCTTTGGTGGTAGTCATACTGCCCAAGATAGAAAAATCTCAGCAGCTGTTCAACGAACACGAGCTGCTAGGTTTGGCTATCCGAGTCGAAGTTCAAAAGAACTCAAGACTCATCGGGCAGTGTCACCGCTGCCAAAAATATGGGCATGCGCAATCTTACTGCACTGCACCACCTAAATGTCTAAAATGTGCTTCTGACCACATGACCCACTTATGCCCTCAAACAGAACAAGAGGAACCAAAGTGTGCGAACTGTGGAGGGGGGCATCCAGCGAATAGCCGAACTTGCAGATTTGCCCCTAAGAAAAATCTGCAAGTGATAGCGCAAAGGCGCAATGTAAGTTACGCGGATGCAGCTAGGGATACAACCCGGGCTGCCCCCTCTGTGGGATCTTCTGCGAACACGCAAAATGTGGACCTGGCAACCGCGCTAAGGTCCTTACAGCAGATCATAGGTCCTCTGATTAGCGCAACACAGGCTTTGCAGGCGATCTTTCCTGCAAATGGCTAGGTACAATCGACGACAGCCTGCATTTATCAAAATTCTTTTTTGGAATTGTTTGGGTCTAAGGGTCATTCCCAAAAGACGGGAATTTCATCAAGCTCTTGTGGACGAAAGTATAGATGTGGCCTTGCTGCAGGAAACATTACTTCATCCGGGAGATCGTCTAGCTTTTCCGAATTACGATGTTATCCGGGCTGATAGATTGACTGGACGGGGTGGCGGCTTGGCAGTGCTAGTGAAACGCGGTATTGACTACCACAGAAGCACAAACGCTGACATGCAGAGCATCGAAGCGGCTTCCGTGGTGGTCAATATGACGGGAGGTGTGCCGTTAAAAATCACATCGGTGTATGTCAGGTGTGGTAACAGGCTGCAAGAGGCGGATCTGGAAGTCCTTTTAGACTGCTCGGGTCCACTTATTGTGGCAGGGGACTTCAACTGCAAACATCGAGCATGGCATTCCAGGTTGAATTCCACCAGTGGGACCCGACTGTACAACCATGTGATACGAAAAGGCTACCTCATACATAGTACTGAGGAGCCGACGCACCACCCATTTAATCACCTTCAGGCACCTGATGTTCTTGATTTGGCATTATCCAAAAACTGTAGCTACAGTATCACTTCTCGAATCATGTATGACATCTCAAGCGATCATCTTCCCGTCGTTTTGGAAGTGGCTAATGAGCAGATCTTGGGGGATGAAATCCCTCCAAGGAAACGCATTGATTGGGAGCTATACAAGTCGCTCCTCAAAGAGTTCCCCAATATAGCGATCATAGATGATGAGAACGGTATAGATGCGGCTCAAGCAGAGTGGACAAGTTTTGTTCAGCAAACTCTGCAGCGTGCAGCTGTACTTCCCGTGCAGCGACACGGCAGACCTTTTCTGCCAGCAGACATTCGTCAGAAAATTTCTGATAAAAGAGCTGCAATTAAGCAAGCGAAAAGGTCTTGTCATCCTGATGACATTCGCAGAGCGACGAATCTTGTTCATGAAGTAAGAAATGCTCTTCATGAATTCCGCAATGAGCAATGGAACGACTTTCTGGCGGGGATGCTTGACTCAAGCATTCCTCTCTGGAAGGTGGCGAAGTCGCTCAAAAACGGAAAGCGTGAACAAATCCCACACATTCACGGTCCTGGAGGCATTGTCTTCAGGACAGAGGAGAAGGTTGAGGTTTTCGCCGATGCCATGGAAAGACAGTTCTCTCCCAACTATGATCTTGATAATGACCTCGACGAGGAGCAACACATCGTAAGATCTGTCAGGAGATATTTTAGGGCCAACGGCGTCAGTGACAGTCGCGCATTCGTTGGTGATTTTTCTTCATCAGAAGATTCTTCAACCGAAGATTTTCTTAGCACATCAGCGGTATCTCCTGAGATCCCTCATTGCACACCAGCAGAGATTCAAGGTCATATTAAAGACCTTAAAGTGCGTAAAGCACCTGGGGAGGATCAAATCACTAATAAGGCGCTGAAGCTGCTTTCGCGGAAGTCCTTAACTTATCTCGTGGCAATAGTCAATGCCATGCTAAGGATCCAGTACTTCCCATCCGCGTGGAAGACCGCTGAAGTTATAATGATTCCAAAGAAGGTGGGTTCGATATTTCCCCAGGATTATCGTCCCATTAGCCTGCTGTCAGCTGCGTCTAAGCTCGCTGAAAAGGTGATTCTACGTCACCTTGAGAATTTCTCGTCAGATCACCATGTGATTCCTGACGTGCAATTCGGTCTTCGGTCTGAACATAGTACGGAGCTACAGGCGGTTAGGCTGGTGGAACATGTAACCAGAGGATTCACCCTTAACGAAAGTACTGGCATCTTGCTTTTGGATGTCTCAAAAGCATTTGACAAGGTGTGGCACGCGGGCCTCTTGTATAAACTAATCCAAAAGGGCTTCCCTTTTTGGCTTCTAAAACTACTGAAATCCTTCCTTGAAGGTAGGAAATTTCGGAGCAAAATTGACAATGTGCTATCGACAACATGGCTGATTACAGCCGGCGTTCCTCAGGGTTCGGTCCTTGGACCTATCCTTTACTCACTGTACATCCATGACGTCCCTAGTCCCAGCAACTGTGGAGTCTATCTCTATGCTGACGATACTGCATTGGTGGCTCAGTCGTGGTCTGGTGACCTAGTCCATGACAGGCTGCAAAGTGCGGTGGAAGAAGTATTAGATTGGGCGGATCGGTGGCTAATTAAAATAAACCATTCGAAAACGCAGGCAATCTACTGTACAAAAAGACGTCGCGGCGTTCCGTCTGAAGTTTCAATGAATGAACTTCGTATACCATGGGAATCCTCCGCTAAGTATCTCGGTGTCATTCTGGACAAAGGGATGACTTGGCGGAACCATATGGAAGCGCTAAAAACTAAATTCCAAATTACGTTTCGGCAGCTTTACCCATTATTATGTAAACGGTCAAAATTAAGTTTGATTAACAAGATTCGACTCTATAAGGTGGTCATAAGACCAGCAATGACTTACGCATGTGCGGCTTGGTGTTTTATTGCTAAAACACACATGCGAAGTCTGCAGGTTCTGCAAAGCAGGACGTTGCGCACTATTGCTGATGCCCCATGGTATGTCTCTAACGAAACTCTACATAGAGACCTCGATGTCCTTACTTAAAGGACTACATTAAGCAACAGGCGCAGCGGCGCTATAGCCTAGCGTAATCGCACAGCAACCCTCTGTTGCGTCAGTCAGTGGACTACACAGTCGAGCAAGTTCGCAAGCACAAAAGGCCGCGGCTCGCACTGTAATCAAAATTAACTCGTGAACTTGGAACAACCAAAATTGGAGCATTTTTACACAATCTTTAGAAAAAAAAAACAAATATTTTTAGACCATATCAAAATCTGTGAAGTGATTTTAACAATGCCTAAACGCTGCCTATCCTAAAAGATTCTCTTCTTCCCCTTTGCTCTCGTTCTTTCTTCTCTCCTTTCCTTCCCCTTTTTTCCTTAAAATTGTCTGGTTTCTGGGTTACCAGACCTGACAGACTTACAAACTGACACTGTGACTCAAGAGCTAAGGTCCCACGGACCGCTCTGACAACCAACGATGGCTTGAAAAAGTCACTGCCTACCCAGGCATTTATGGCCTGCTAGCCAACAGGAGCACGCGAATTTGAATGTTGCACGCTGGTGGTTGTTTTGACGGGTATTTGAATACACTTTAGTGAAATTGTTTAATTTGTTTAGGAGCTACAGTGCCATATACAGTTTATGCAAATATTACAGGAGCAACAAGGAACATATTACATTTTAGGAAGTATTAAGCCATTTTTAGAGGTCTTAAAACCTTGTTATTTTTTAACGTCACATTTCACCAGTTAAACTTTATTCGTTAAAAATCAATATAAACAGTGCAGTTTCGCCCAGTACAAACATAAGAAGTCTACAAAATTATGCTGTAGATTTTTGTGTATCTAGGGCGATAAGGAGCTTATGGACTGCGGCGTAAAATTTGAGCCTAAGATGTGAAGCAACGTGGATTCTACGCTTGCGCCCGAGAGACTTACAACATCTTATTTAAAACCGGCTAAAACAGAAGATTGAGAATAGCTTCGAGTAGAATTAAAAATGAAAAACAATTATTACCGGTGGTTGCACTGCCTCGCAAGGAATAAATAGATTTTACTTGGCCGACATACTGTGTTTGACATACGTTAGTTCACATTGGATCTACGGAAAAGTTCTGTGACAGGTACGCGCATCTATATGACAATTAATTTTCGTCACTCTTGCTACCACTGGTTGTACTCGTAATACATGCTGGTCTTAGTCGATACGTGTTAGAATTTTAGGAGACGCGATAATAGTGTATTCATGGCTACTGATGAGTCCCAGTTGGACCACTGTATTTTGTATGGATTCCAACAAGACTAAATGTTACGGAGGTGTATAAAAATTTATGGAAAGTATTCTTGATGCATTTTCTAACAGAACGTGCAGGTGCTTCGAAGCGTTCCAAAGGGTGAATTTGAACTTCCCGATAAACCGTGCTAGGACCAACATTATTTGATTGACAACGATACTGGCAAGCATATTTGGAAATTAGGATTAGCGTGAAAATATTCGAGATGGGTGGAGCAGGATGAACCTTTCTTGGACCGGCTAATAACAGGGGATAGAGACTGTATCACGTATGAAAGTGTCGTGACAAACCAGGAACACCTGCTTTGGAGATCCGTCAAAAAATTGCAATGCGTGTTGGGAAATTTTAATACATTTCCCATATTAATCAAAACTAGCGCCATCTGATTATCGCCTATTATTGCCGTTTCAAAATTTTCTGTAGGGTAAGAAATTAAAAAAACGAGGACGATATCCATCAAGCACTGAATCAATTTTTCGCACCTAGAGATGAGACGTTTTATGAAAATTGTAGTTAAAGGATACTAAGGAACCATGGCCAAATAAGGATTATTTTGGGATTTATAACCTTCTGATATTTTTTCCTCAACTTTGACCATCTGTGGTGAAACAAAAATGTACTGGGCTATAACTGCACTATATTGACTAAAAAGATTGCTCATTGAATACAGATTTCAGAAAGGCACCACACGTACTATTTGGAATAGAAAAAAGTGATAGCTGCTTTTGTAAGTGACTGACACAAACTACAATGTAATTATTGGATTAAAATTCAAGTTGTACTGGTTACCGATCAGTGACATGCTAAATAGTACAAAGCTACCTTATTATTACCTGCTCCTGATATGATTTCATGAAAGTTGAGGAAACAATGTCAGAAGGTTATAAACCCCAAAACAGTCCTTATTTTATCATGGTTCCTTAATATCTTTTAACTACGAAGGATGTCTTTTAAGTTTTGCATATGGAAATAAAACAACACGGTCGGTAGTTTTAAATGATTTTATTGTTTTTCGAAGTATTCTCCACGAAGATTAATACACATCTGCATGCGCTCGAACCAATTTTCGGAGCAGTTATTCCACTCGTTTGCTGGCAGATCCAAAACGGCATTTTTG